CACAAAGATAGTAAGAAATGCAGGATTTCAAACATCTGGAACAATATTTAATAAGTCAACGCAGATTTTGGCATTCGCCGACGACATAGATACTATAGGAGGCCTTTACAAGATTGAAAACGCAGTTAGAGAAGATAAATTTTGATAAATTTTATAAAGATCAAGTATATGGTGGCAAAGACTGGCGATGGAAACGTACCAAAACATTTGGAAGTTGAGGATGATCAGTCTAAGCCAACAAATGCTTCTGTGGGCTTATAAACAACTTCACATCTAAACTATCAAAATAATCTTATATAAGTCCTTAATACAACCACAATAGGTCAAAAACATGGGCTTTAGTGCAGAAAGATCAAGAGGGGGTAAGAAGATTCGAGAGATAGTTAAATTTATCAAAGTGCAAAGGTTGACATGAATTGGCCAAGTAGCCAGAATGGATATACCTGTGAGTAGAAGATCTAAAAAATATTCAAAATGAGTTTAAAGTTATTTAAAACCCCAAAAATTGTTCAAAATCATTTAATAAGAATGTGTCTAAAAGTATGTAAACTTATCTAATTATTTAAAATTGCAAAAATTTGTCTAAACTTGGCTTAACTGTCACAAAATTTTATAAAATTTATTCATATTTGATGAAACCTTTACAAAATTGTCTAAATTTGTTCAAAATTGTGAACATAAACGTGAAAAAATGGTTTATAATGATCAATGATTGCAAAATTTGTTCAAATTCATCCAAACTTTTACAAAATTGTCTAAAATGATTTAAATTGTCTAAAATTAGATACTAGAAGTAATATTAGTACTAACATTAAACCTAAAACTAGAAACTTTCGAGTTTTTCTGAGCGTCTTTTGAAAAAGCGTTTGACTTTTTCGAACCTATAACTACTGTTAGTACTATAGTAGCGTTAGACATCAGTTTTAACGCCTAGATTGAAATTCTAACATCGTTTGACAACTTTAGGCATACTTTGATAATTTTAGACAAGTTTTGATTAGTTTAGACAGCTTCAGAAAAATTTGGGTAATTTTGGAGAAGCTTACCGATGGACCAATGTAAATAATTTAATAATAATAATAATACTTTATTGAGCCAAATAAATACAGAATACCTAAACAACAAAATAACAAGAGCAGAAAAGGCAAAATTCAGAATTCACTGATTTAACTTTAACCTTATAAGATCGGCAAAAAAGATAGGACCAAGTATAGATCCCTGCGCAACACCAGCAAACAATTCAATAGAATTAGAATACTGTGACTTCACCTTAACCACCTGCGTTCTATCAAACAGATAACTCTTAAACAAAGAAACAGCACACTCAAACACACCAACAAATTTAAGAATAACCAATAAAAGGTCGTGATTTAAGATATCATATGCTTTAATAAAGTCAAGCAACACAAGCAAAGTAGATTTACCAGCATCAAGAGCTCTATATATATCATCACTTAAGTCAAGAAGCGCTGTGTCATAGCTATATTGACACCTAAAACCAGATTGTTTATCAGGTAGTATATTATAAGTATCTAAAACGATCTTAGTTGCTCCGTCATAATTTTCTCTAACACTTTAGACAAAACCGGAAGGATGGTAATACGTCTCAAATCTTTAAACTCTTTAACTGGTTTCGTTTTAGGAACAGGAGTCACCAGACCACATTTCCATGTCTTAGGATAAACCGATATTATCATACAAAAGTTGAAAATATTACAGAGAACATTCAAAATAAAAAAAACACAACCTAACCATATCTAGAGAAATATCACCCGAGCCAATACTAGTAGACTCAAACAAAAGCAGATACCGCTCAATAGAATCCANTATTGTTTTCTCAAAAACTAAAAGTTATTTTTCAAAACGGGTTGGTTCATTGGAAAGAGGACACTTTTATTAACACTTTGGGAAATTTTCATACTCATATTCCGAGAAGTAGATTTTATACGATTTTGTAAAACTTAATCGGCGAAAATTGCAAAAATTGGAAAAAATTGTCGATTATTTCAAATTTTTTTTTCTCAAGAACTAAAAGTTATTTTGCAAAACGGGTTGGTTCATTGGAAAGAGGTTACTTTAATTAATAATTGGTGATATTTCTACAAGGATCCTTCAAGAAATTAATTTTACAGCGAATTTAGAATGTTATCGAAGAAAATTGCAACATCGAAAATTTTATCAAAACTTTAAATATTGTTTTCTCAAAAACTAAAAGTTATTTTTCAAAACGGGTTGGTTCATTGGAAAGAGGACACTTTTATTAACACTTTGG